ACAAAGAGAAATAAAACACTGCTTAGAGGTAAACTACAATTTCGTCAGTCTGGCTGGCCAATTGCAGAAAAAACAGCTTATGTGTGTCATTAAATGACCAATGAAAAGGAGATAGCGTCTGGTCTAAAACTGAGAAAAAACAAACCTCATTTTCTGATCAGCGCCCTCACTGGCTGAGGACTCTTTAGTGGCCGGAGGGACTTCATTACAAGCTTCAAAATCAAACTTCTTCACGTCTTCTTTGCTATCTCTGGCTTCTGGGCTTGGGGCTTCCGTGGGCGCTTCCGCGGCCTCCTCGCTAGAGGCCTCCGCGGGCTCCGAGGCCGCGCTACTCTGCTCAACTGGCTTCTCTAGCCCTACAGGCTCACAGTCCGTGCTCGCGCCAGCGCCAGCGCCCGTCTGCTCCGCGGGCTCCCTTTTCACTACCGCTAACGGGGTGTCTGCCTTGCCCGACTGAGCGTGTGTTGACTCGCTGGCCAAATCTAAATCACCCTCCTCCGGATGAGCGCTGTCAAAAAGGTCCTCTTCCTCCGCAAGCTTTCTGTCTGGCCCCACGCTACTTGTATCCTGTGCAAATGGCTGCTCCAGCTCGGAACCTTCTTCTTTTACTGGCTCAGATTTACAAGTTTCCCCCAAAATGTCGAGTATTTTCTCATTTTCTACGGATTTAACAGGAATAGAATGGCACAAGGTTTAATTACCAGGGAAATACAGCAATCACAAATGCGGAACTGGCACGGCTGCCACACTAACACCGAGAGCACTGCTAGCCACACAGAGATTGGAAAACCCGCGGCACACACAGTTACACTGGTACACTACCTGCGCTCCGACCGCTGCTAGGTGGGCCTCTACGCTACAGGGAAGAGAAAAGGCCCCCACAGATTTAAACACCCACAGCCACACGGCCGCTTCGCGACAGTCTTCATCGGGTGGGCCTCTACGCTACAGGGAAGAGAAAAGCATCCCAGAGATTTAACCCCCAACACCTTCTGGTTGGTTCTTGACACTCTTCATTCTGTCGTCGTTTACATATATATGACTCTTCCAAATTTAGCTTCCAAAGTCCAAGTCGCTTAACTGAATGTATCACCATTCACTGACAGCTCAATTTCCAAATTTCTTTGAATTTCGTTTAATAGAACAGTCCAACATGAAAACCACACTCTTCCGTCGGTGCTCTGAGATATTTGTAGTCCAGAAAGTGAATAGTGTTTGTTTGGAATTCTCATGAAGACACTCTCTCCTCTTCTGGAATCCGTTATGTCTCAAAGGTTTAAACGCATCTCCCTACACTACCTGTGCTGCCTGGGGTGACAACCACACAGTTAAGACACTGCTCGATATCACAAGATCTGTTTTGTGGGGGCAGAGGTGGTAGCTCTCGAGAGGCACGCAAACTCCGTCTACATACATTTAAATGCCGTCTCGATTAAAAAGGCATGAGATGGCTTCATCTCACCGGCACGTTTTGTAAAATGAAGTTAGCCACGTTCACAGATCTGGTGATATGGCTGGGTTTCCAATCTCTATGATCCTGGTATGTTCTGGATTGTAAACCTTTAGAACAAGGTACACTACAGTAAAGCGACTTCTCAAATTAAAGAATTCAAATTAGAGAAGGTGGAAAACTAGAATGCTTCCGAACCCCCACTGCTAAGTTTTTCATTTAACAGTACCTGGCTCCAGAGATGGCTCTTCCATTTCCTGTAACAAAAAAGACAAGTGAGACGAGGCCAGGTGGGCACACCCTCAGTTCATTAAAGCCAGTGTTAACTAAATAGGGAATTTTAAAACACAGACTGGAAACACAAATACCACTGGTGGAGGGCCTGTGTGTTCCTGACACACCCCTGTACAACTGGCATTTACCTCCTATGGCCCCAGTCCACGTCTGTGTCACCCTTGAGGGGCCTGGGAACAATCGCACTGCCAGTGAAGAACTGGCCCCACACCTGCCTGTCCCTCCGGACTGAAGCCCGGAACCCAAGGACAGCGGCGTGTTCAACTCTGCTCTCCACGTCTCCCTGGTCCCGACACACATCAGACCTGTGGACAGTAACCTAACCATCCAGGAACTTTCTAGAGGGAAAGACCGAGGGACTACGGCCCAGACCAGGCCGTGTTCTGACTCCTGCTCCATTCCACCTGGGGTGTGGCCCTGCCACTGGGCACTCCAGAATCGCCTCCCCTTCCCATCTGCTCTCCACCCACAGCCCCAGGCCAGCTCTCAGCCAGGAAGTCTTCCTGGGAAGCCAGTCGGCTGCCGTGACTCCTCGTCCACGGCAGTGTCTAGCTTCGCCCGTAGTGCGCTGGGCTAAGCTGCTGCCCTGCCACTGCTGGCTTCCTCTGTGACCTCCAGCTTTCAGCCGGAGGCTCCCATGCCACCCCTCTCCCAGGCAGGCCCACTTCTCCCTGCTCCCACCCCTAAGCCCCATATTTGGGTGCTTCAGGGGCATCCGCTCTAGAAGGGCTCTAGGAAGTGTCCTCTGCACGCAGCGCTCCAGCCCACCTGAGGCGCCATGACTCGGATCCAGGGGAAACGAGTGCCTCTGCACGCGCACTCAGACAGCCCCGTAGATGGGCGCCATCGCTCCCGCATCACGCTCCCGCATCACGCTCCCGCATCACGCTCCCGTGCTCACACTAGGAGCTGTGGCCAAGGACTGAGGAACTCGCCAAGGACCCAGAGCAGGTGGGAGGGGAGACAGGCTTCGCGAATGCGGCCGCCTGCGGGGAGCCTGCACTCCTCACCCTCAGCACTGGCTCTAGCCGAAGCTCGTCTCTGCGGGTGTGTTCCCGGGGGGAGATGGGCCCTGTGAGGACGGGACTTTCGCTTCACTGGCCTATGACTCTGCCTGCCACACCTGCACGTCACAGGGCACCCACGCACACCCAGAGTGGATGTGAGCATCTGCATTTTCCACTGGAAACTGGCCTGCCGATCAGGATGCCCGGGGAGCCATCTCTGGCTTTTAAATCCGTTCTTCCCCACGCTGGGAAGTGAGGCTCTGCGCCTGAAGCGGATGGTCACTCTTGGCAGAGCCATTCCGGTCCACAGCTCTCCTAAAGAGGGGACCACACTGTCCACTGAGCAGAGATGTCCGGGGGGAGGGGGAGAGAGGACGTGGGAAAGTGCCCGCCAGAGGGGAGGGCCACGACAGAGTCCTTGTCCTGTCTCTCGCTGGGACGGTGGGTGTAGCACCCACGCCTGGCCCGTCTTTCAGGCTGCAATGTCCAAGCCTGCAACTGCAGTCAGCCATGTGGGCGCCGGTGCCTAACCAAGGTGCCACCGGTCGGCCCTTCCCTAGTGCTTTCCACGTCAGACTCCCTTATGAAAATGGAAAAGGGGCCAGCAGCATGGTGATTAAAACAGCTGGATCGGGACCAGCGGTTGGCGTAATGGCTATGTTGCTGGACTCCCATGTAGTTGACCGCGGTTCGAGTCCTGGACCCGGTGGCTTAAACTCATGCCGGGCGCGTGTGCGTGTGTGCCCAAGATCCCAAGAGAATGGAGGAGAAGGGATTGCGGCATGGCCATCCTCCCTGGGGGTGATTTATCCTTTTCTAAACACCAGACAGTTATGTACGTTTAAGTACACTCATTTACGAAAACTGTATCCGAGCTAGCTCTCCTCTCATTTGTTCTCATCTAAATTTGTCAGTAGCTTTTTTTACAACGACTTTTTCAAACTTTATTATTATTATTTTAATTTTGCTATAGGGACAAAGAGAGCAAGAATGCAAACATGCCACCTGGTCCAGGACTCAAACTGTGTAGCCACATGGGAGGCCAGGGTCTCAACCACCCACTGCGCCTCCTGCTGGCCCCCATGCACATTTTGGTATTTATGCGAGGGTAATGAGCAGCCAAGCTGATGCGGCATCAAAAGAATTCTGTGCGTTTCCTATGGGAAACCTTCCCCAGACAGGACCGAAGTGCAAAGACTGCATTCTCCCAGCGGTGCCAGCAGTGCCCCCAACCCGCCGTGGCCTGGGCCCAGTGCGCTGTCCTCTGGTCTCCCGCAGTCATAGCAGACGTCGTGCAGGACGAACCAGGCGGGCTGCCTTCCTCCAGCAAGGGGATGAACAAGAATGTCGCAAAGGCTGCCCCTCTACCAGGTGCTGAAGCGCCACGGAGCATGGGCGCACTAACTACTAGAACCCGGTGCTTTGGCTCTCAGGAAAGCTGACAACGAGACTCCTCCCTGAACACCCGGCCGCGGGGGTCGGGGATCAGGTGGCATGGTGGTTAAGGGCGCTAGACTCCCCAGGATAGACCATGGTTCGAGTCCCAGACCTGGTGGCTTGCTTTCTCCCTCTTTCTCTCTGTCCCTCTGGTCAAATTAAATAAGTTTAAAAAATGGATAAAGTTATATCATTCTTAAAAAAATAAAATAAAGAGCCTGACACGGGAGACAAATGTTGCAGTAATGACTAGCTGGGACAGTGTCTAACGTGCTTCCCAGGAACCACGGCCTGGTCCAGCCTTGGATTGCAAAGTTTCCACAACTTACCTGCAATATAGTGAAGTCAGATGATGAAGTATCTAAATTGTTTATGGTTTCTCTGTCCTCCACCTGAAAAGTGAACACACAATGCATTTTATTACACCAACAGGAAGGTGACAACAGTCATTCACGACAGAATTTGTTTATTTTCACTTCATGTTTTTTTAGATTTTTGCCATAGGTCAAAAAATCCTGCCAGAGACAGAGTGAGAAATCACATCCTAGGAGGATAACCACACTGTAATCCCGCCTCCCCTTGGGACTCTGGGTACATACAGTTCACATGGGCCTCACCATATTTTCAGGAGGCCAGGTTTGGGACTCACACCGTGTGATCCGCTATTGGGACCCAGCCACCTTAATTAACCTCCACGCCACCTGTTGGTCTCATGACAACATTTTAAAGACTGCACAGGAACTGAATCAGCATGACAGCACAATTCCAGCTAGCCTGAAAGAAGCGCTGGAGGTCTGAATCTGAGGGTAGACCAGGAAGCCTACCAAAGCAGTAGCAGCGTGAGCTGTAAGCTGCAACCCAAACAGAAGCCTATTAGCACAAAAGAGAGTGCCTGGGTTGCAAGAGACTCTGGGAAACCGGGTCACAGGTCTGGGGCGGCTCGTCCAGGTGCAAGGTCTTGAGTGACACTGCAGAGTCCTTGGCACCCCCCCGTCTGCCTATGTCCAGCGGCTACTGATGCTGGGATTGCTACCCAGGATGGTGCAGAGGGCTGGCAAAACTCTGGGACCCCTTTGTGCCCACCTGCAGAGGGACAACGGCCCAGACACAGCCTGCACCTTTTTCAGTGAGAAAGTCGTCCCCCCCCACCCCCCCCAGGGATGGCCACATGGCAATCCCTTCTGCACAGCCACCTTGGGATTTCTGGACACACCCCGAGCGTGCTCTTCAAGCCAGCAGGTCTGGAATTCACAAACTGCTCTGTCAGCCATGTGGGATCCAGCCCCCTTAACTACCACACCACTGGCTGGGCCCTGAGCTTGTATTCTAACAGGTGGGTTCTGCCCAGTAAGGCAAGGAATTCCACAAACACGGAAAGGAATGTAGATGCTTTGTGACTCGAATCATGTTGGCCGTCTGCTATAAAGCCTCCCTGCAAGTTGGTGTCTTTCTGGGTGGAGCCTTTTCCAGCATTTCACAGGAAGCATGTACTATTACCATCTTCGCTGGCCTGAGAGTGAAGTTTTGAACCTCAAAGCAGTACAAAAGAGCCTATACAGTGAGAACCCCACCCGCCCTTCCTCCCTGTGCTGCGCCTGTCACCAGACACGCTGTGTGTACTGCAGGGAGTGCAGGTGTGCGTCCCCGAGCCCTCTCCCTCTCCCCTCACCACACACACGAAGCAGCACAGTTGGGCACCCTGCCTGACCTCCACCCACCTGGAGGGTGCACACAGACCTGTCAGCACACACCGGTGCTCCGGGAGTGACTGTCCTTGGAGTCACGGGGGCAGGGGTTTCCTGTTAGGGCTGCAGAGTGACTTGCGGCCTCTGTCACAATGCCTAATCTACGTCACTGCAGTGCCAAAGCAGCCGAGACAACAAGCAGTAACGGCATGGGTGTGTTCTAATAAAATCTTACTTTTACAGAAACAAGTGGATGCCTAGTTGGATGACTTCTGCTCTAAGCTTGTGAAAAACACTAATCCATTTAATCCACCCAAAGCTCCTTTTTTTTTCTTTAACTGAGGCCCAGAGAGGCTATGTAACTTGCCTCACGTCACACAGGAAGTGAGTGGCAGACCTCCACGGTCTACACTCTCAACTCTTGAATTACACTGTGTATTTTACATCATTAATTACTGGGCCAGCTAAAGGTGGCTGGATGCCACGCGGCTGACCACACGGCTCCAGTTCCAGACCCAGTGGCTTGAAAACATGCCAAGCCTGGGTGTGTATGCACGCCCCAAATCCTGAGAGAATGGAGAAGGAATTATGGCAGAGCCATCGCCTCGAGGGTCGGGGTGGGGTGCATTCCCACCCTCTTTCTCTCTGTGAAGAGTGCACAAGCTCCATGCCAAACCAATAGTAATAAAAAAATCCTATGTAACTATCGTTGCCAGATATCCAGGATGTTTCTGGAGGGCACGTGCATTTACTAGACACACAGACTAGAGGCGAAAGGTACCCCCCAATTGGGTGTGGTCACACTGCAATCCTTTCTCCTCCATTCCCACTTCCCATTGGGATTCTGGGCACACATGCGCTTGTGCTTGGGCATGTTTTTCAAGCTGCAAGGGATGGGATTCAAACTACGTTGTCGGCCACGTGGGATCCAGCTCCCTTAACCAGCAGGCCCTGAAACTAGCCCTTTGCTACTCCTTTTTAGAAAGCCACTGAATGAGATTCACCAAAAAGTAAAAGAACTGCACACCTATTCGTATCAGAGTAACTCTCAGCCATTTGTCAAAGCCCAAGCCACCTTCAGACACAGCTGTGACTCTAAGGATGCTGATGCTGAGCAGCAGCCCCAAGAGGGGGCACACAGGTACTCTGCAACGGCAGAAGTGGGTCGCTGGCACAGGAAGGGCTTCCTTCGCCCAGGGCGACTCGAGGGCAGCACCGCCGCACGTTCGAGGACCACTATGAAGTCAAGGCTCCTCTCATGGGCGAACACGCACGGTGTCCTAGAGACACAGGTTTCTCTGGCTCACCGCCTGTCCTGGCTCCTGACACCAACCCTCTTGTAAATAAAACCAATGACAACAAGATAACGTGGCTTGGCAGTTAAACATACAAACTCTGGAAGTAGCCTGGCATTTCCTCATTTGGAAAACAGGGACAGCATCAGCTACTTCTCACACTGTGGGGAAGGGCTAAGGGGCAGGAGAGTTTCATCAGTAACACCCACTGTAATTTCTCATGTGTACACTGGACACGCTTTAACACGAGAGCTAAGGCTTTAACGTAACAACATGGTAATGTCAGCATTAAAGGTTAACAACTGGGTTCTACCAGGATGAGATCAACTTCTAACTTCTTCAAGGCCTCCCAGCCATAGCACCGGACACCGACCCTCCCTAACAGGGAGGTGTGGAATGGCTGCACTCCAAGTGTCTCCTGCGGGATCGTGCAAACGGGTAGTGATGCCTTCCCAACTTATGAGACACTCCCTTTACGAGGAAGCAAACATGAATCTCAGACTCGTGATTCTCCTGCACTGGCAGGACGAGGGCAGCAGAGCTCCTGACACAGCCTACGGCCCGCCGTGGCGTCTGGGAGCCAGCACACCCGAGCGCGCTCCAGAGTTACCTACAGCGTGCTCCGGAAGCTGCTCCGCCAGCTCGCGCGGCTCCCCCTCCACCAGTTCTCCGCTGTCAGACAGGGACTCCGGGGGACTGTCAGCACCTTCGTCCTCCACGCAGTCGGCGACGCTCCCATTATCAATCTCGGCTTCATCTAGCACACTGATATCCATCATGTCAATGTCCTGCAAGTTCTCCAGACTGGTTTCAACATCCTCCTGAGACGAGACAGAGCAGACCACGCCATCACAGGACTGCCGCTGCAGGCCCACCCGCCCAGCTGATGGGTGTGGAGCTGCACCTACCTGTCCGTCCCCAGAGTTCTCCTCCAGCCCGTTATCTTCCACACCCTCTTCCTCTGGTTTACGCCCTGGAGAGACAATTGTTGACAGCACAATCACTGACGTGTTTTCTGGAAGTAAAGAGCCTGCGCAATGAACATATGGACATCTGAAATACCTGCCGCACCTCCCTACTTGGGACGACTGTGTGACCCAGGAAGGAGAAGGCCATGGGGACAAAGCAGTCCCCCTCTACCCTCCAGAAGAGGTTCTGCTCTTATCACCTGGCTGCATAAGCAGGTGGCTGTGTCATTCTATCTTTTAAAAAAAGGATTATTTTGGGACCAGCAGTTAGCATAATGGCTATGTCGGTGGACTCCCACGTAGTTGACCACGGTTCGAATCCCAGACCCGGTGGCTTAAACTCACGCCGGGCACGTGTGCGTGCGTGCCCAAGATCCCGAGAGGAGAAAGGAGAAGGGATTGTGGTGTGGCCATCCCCCCTTGGGGGTGATTTCTCGCTTTCTGTCTGTCTGTCTGTCTGGCGAGCACACGTGCCCTTTAGCAAAAAAGAGGATTATTTTATTTACTCTTACTTATTACTATTATTATTTTCCAATTTGAGCAGATAGAGAGGGAAAGTAAGAAAGCAAGCCACCAGGTCCAAGAATTGAACCACAGTGGGCCATGTGGGAGTTCAACACCTTTAACCACCATGTCACCTGCTGGTCCCAATGTGTCAGTTTACTTAAAAAAATAAATAAATAAATAATTAGGGATCAGCAGATGGAATAATGGATAGGTCACTGGACTTCCATGTAGTTGACTGCAGTTCGAGTCCCAAACCCAGTGGCTAGAAACACGCCAGGCACATGTGCGTGTGCGCTTAATATCCTGAGAGAAGAACGGGGGAGAAAGGATTGCGGTGTGGCTATCTTCCCTAGGGGGTGATTTCTTGCTTTCCGTCTCTGTCTCTCTGGTGAGTGTACGTGCCCTATAGCAAAAATCTGTCTCTTAAAAAATATTTTCAAAAAATGTTATAAAATTAGTTTTGTTTCTCTGAGAGAAAAGACAAGAGAAACAGAAAAGAAGCCCCTGACAGGCTCTCGCTATGCCACAACTGCCAGGATCTTGGATGTGGGTGCCCACTGTGCTTTAAGTCAGCTCGGGATCCAAGTCCAGCCAGTTAAGTGGCTTTTAGTACCACAGAACAGAAATGGAAACTATTTAACTTCACCTATTTATTTTAACTTAACCAGAGAGGAACATAGTGGGGGGGGGGGAGTGAGAAAACAAGCCGCCCGGTCTGGGACTCAAACCATGGTCAGCCACGTGGGAGTCCAGCGGTCCTGACCACCAGGACCGGCCCTGACCTAAGGCCTGACCTTGTCAGATGGCTTGCTTGTTAGTAGAACATCTGATACAAACATGCCAGTTTGTAGTTAAGAAACCCAGAGCAGGGCCAGCAGGTGGTTAAGGCACTGGATTCCCACAGGGCCAACTGTGGTTTAAGTTCCAGAATCAGCAGCTGACAATCACGACAGATAAACAAATGCTTAAAAGCAAGCAAACAAACAAAAGTCCACAGAAATGACAACCTAAAGCAGAATACAAGTAAGACGAGAAGCTAGTCACAATTCCAGCACTTTCGAGCTAGCCTTCTTACACTGACATACCAATACCACCCCCCATTCTGCTACATGTACATATGTACCTTGTTCACAACAATGCTACTCCTTTTTAGGAAACCAGTGAATGAGACTCACCAAAAATAAAACAAATGCACAACCAATTTGTATCAGAAAAACTCTGAGTTATTTCTCAAAACCCAGACCACCCTCCTTCAAACGTGCCCAAGATCCCAAGAGAAGGGATTGCAGCATGGCCATCCCCCAGAGGATGATTTCTCGCTTTCTGTCTCTGTTTCTCTCTGTCTTTCTGGAGAGTGCATGTGCCCTATAGCAAAAACCTCTCCAAAAAAATTGCCAGAGGTCTGTGCCTATGCCTATGGGGTGGGTGGGGGGGTCCCCCCAGCTGTCGGTCATGGCACAGCCCTCCGTTTCCTGTTTCTTCACCTTCATCAGGATTTGGGGCATACACCCGCACGGCACCAGGTTCAGGTCTGGAGCCATGATCTGGCGAGAGACAGAGGGAGGGAAAGTGAGAACTCACCCCCGAGGAGGGATGGTCATACTGCAATCCCTTCTCCTCCATTCTCCTCTCAGGGTTTTGAGCATGCACACACACATGCCTAGCATGGTTTCCATGCCACCAGGCTCAGGGCTTGAACCACAGTTGGACATGTGGGAGTCCATCTGGTGCCTTAACCACCATGCCACCGGACGGTCCCAGGGACAATCGGTCTGGATCTTTAAAGTGGCTGTTTTGATCTTTGCCAGGGTGCTAGGCAAATGAAAAACACTTAACTGGAAGAAATGATCTGACCATTGGCTTAGGTTAAATTTTGTTGGCAACCCGCATTTTCATAAAAATTTCCCACTTATATCCTTTCTCCATTTAAAGCAACTGCTTCGCTGTCCTGCGGTTGAGTTGTGCGTAATGCAGACAGTGCATCCTTCCAGTTCGACACCAGCACTTCAGTTTTGTTTTGGGTTTTGGGGAAATTTTACTTCCACGGTGCTAAAGTTATTCATTGGATTTGACGTGTAAGTGGTTTTTACCGTCATGTTTAGAAACCCCTCTCAACCCTAAAACTACATACTATTCGCTTGTATTTAGTTCTTTGGGGGTTTCATTTTAACATGTGACCCACTCAGCTTTGTGATGAATGAGACTATTTGCATGTCCCATTTGGAAACTGATTTCCCAACGCCTTCAATAGGTGAGAAATGTTGGCCTTGTAAGGTCGTGTTCCTGTGTATGGGGCTTCTGTCCTTCCCCGGATGGGCATGTCCACGTTCCCACAGCCATAACCCACCCAAGGGCAGTCCCCCACGCGTCACAGGCCCTTGCCGCGGCGTCGGTGTGTTGGAACAGTCAGTGCTGGGGCTGTAGAGGCAGCTCCTGTGCTCTGAGGCGGTGACTCTGCCCAAAGAACGAGTGTTCCTTTCTTCGCAGAACTAGCAGTTGCCGCTAGATTTGGAAACTTCTGGAGTGGCCTTTATTTTTGTAAGCTTTTGCCACAGGGTGTGTGTGTTTCCCAGAGAGAGACGGAGGAGTGGAAGTGCGAAGTCACCTCCTGAGCGGGATGGCCATGCCATAGTCCCTTCTCCAGTCTCCTCAGAATTTCGGGCAGGCACGCAGATACGTGATTTTTTTATGTTGCTGGATCTGGGGCGCAAAACCACGGTCAGCCACGTGGGTGTCCAGCACCTTAACTATTAACCATCTGCTGGCCCCCTGGAGTGACCTTTAAACTGCAGAATGGCAAACTGCCCCTCCATGGCAACACCAAGAGTTTACTCGGTCTTCAGCCTCCTTGCACTTGATTCCGAGTGCAACAAGCCTCAGAAGGGCCGCTCCACCAGGTGCTGGTCAAACAGCCTGATAGCACTGGACGCTGCTCCCTCGGCGGCCATCCCAGTCGGCTTCAGCAGCTCTTTATCTGGGACTGCAGCTCTAGGCCAAGAAGTCAGTACAGATCCGGAAGGCAATATACAATCTGGGTTCTAGTCCTGGCTGCACGTTAAGCGGGTCGATGGCAGCACCCAACAGATACTCAAGCAGAGGTTTAGTGTCCCCTGTACTCCTTAATGGGGACCAAGAAGGCACTAAATCTCTTCTGAAATCGCTCTGACAGTACTGATTAGTGTAACACATGTTACTCCCCATGACGGTAGGGTCTCTGGGACAGAAAGCCACGGCCAGCACCCTTGGGAGCCCTCATTCCTGTCCTCTTGGCAACCCCAGCCCCTAGTAAAGCATAAGGCAGCCACCGATGACGAGGCCCAGACCTGCGAGACCAGGAGTCACCCTGTGCACTCGCTCCTGCACTCCCGGCTGGGCAGACTTCACGTGTCTCTACGTATCTTCCTCACGGCCCAGTCTTAGAGATCCTGTATCTGTAGCCTTCGGATATTGTGAAAAATCACCCCTCCTCCAGGGGGATGCCCACGCAGCAGTCCGTTCTTCTCTCAGGATTTTGAGTGCACATGCACACCTGCAACCTGCATTCTTCAAACCACCGGGTCTAGGACCTGAACTGCAGCCGACCATGTGAATCCAACATCTTAACCACCATGCCACCTGCTGGCCACTATTTTCTTTCCCCCTTTTAAATGTAAAGTTCATTTTGTTTCTTTCATGAGAAAAGGTGAGAGACAGAAGCCCCTGAGAAGACTCTCACTATGCCATGATTGTCAGGCTCTTGGGTGTGGGTGCCCAGTGTTTTTCTTTTCCTTTTTTAAAAAAGTATTTAATTTCCATTTGTTGTTATTATTTTTCAATCTGACCAGACAGAGACAGAAAGAGAAAGGAAAAGTGAGAGTAAGTCACCAGTTCTGGGACTTGAATTGTGGTTGGCCATGTGGAAATCCAGCACCTTTAACCAATGCCACTTGCCAATGCCCCCACCCCAGTGTTTTCTTCAAGCCACTGGGTCTGGGACTCAAATCTTATAATCAGTCATGTGCAAGTCCAGTGCCCTACCCACTATGCCGCCTGCCGGCCCTACATATATATTTTCATATCTATCTGGAAATATTTTGCTTACGTCTTTTATTTGTAGAAGCTATACTATCCCTTAAAAGTCAAGGAGAAACAAGTGAAAAACAATTACAACTAGCTAGCAAGTTCAGCAACTGGACTGTTCCTAACAGCCAGGGCTTTCACTACCTCACTTTCTGAAGATGCCTTGGCTTAACACTGGTTACTTTAACAGTATTCACCTGGGGAGGCGCAGCCAGTCTAGCAGACCTTCCGAACCTACCACGGCCTAGAAGCTGCTCTCCCAGCAGCAGAGTACCCCCCAGTGCTTAGATCTTCATTTCTACTACCACTGTCCACAAAAGGGAGCCGGGGCACCTGGAAGAGAAGAGCCGATCCTGGGGTGGGACAGGTAAGTACAAGACGAAATTACAATATTCTTATATTCCAGCAAGTAAAAAGTGTTCAAAGAATGACACAAACA